AAGCATCCTCCTCATCATCTTCATTATTTTTTCCTGGAACAAAGTGAGACTTCAATCTGTAGGTGGCAAGTGCAGGATGAAAACAGAACTGTGACTCCCACAGTGTCCTCTCTGGGCTAACAAAGGAGCAAGCCAGGGGTGTGGTACGGGGCGTCCGGATCCGTGGGTTCTCTTGGTGGCTCTTCTCAAATGGCGCAGGTTCCATCATGCAAGCTTGGACCTGTCTGTTTTCTGTGACCTTTTGGTTGTGTGGAGAGTAGGGAGTGGTTGGGGGGAGGGCAGAAAGATTTGGAGGGTGTCCTAGGAATGTGCCATTAAAAGCTTTGTTGGAACCTGAAATCTGATGAGCCTAAAAGGCACCTCTCTTCTTTGGGCAATAAGGAGTGGCAGGTGACTTGTAGGGGGAGGACAGGTTGGAGAAAGGAGGTGGGACTGGGAGAAAGAGGCCTTCCGGAGAGCCCTAGTCCAGGAGTACAGAAACTCTATCAAAGGGCCAAAGAGATGTATGTATTTTTCTATTGATTATATTTATAGCCTGCCTTTTTTCCTTTCAAGGAACTCTAAGTGATTCCTCCTCTCAATCTTAGCCTTACAACAACCACCCTGTGAGATAGGTTGGGCTGAGAGTTTGTGAAAGCCACCCTGGGAAAGCCACCCAGTTGGCTCCATAGCTGAAATGAGATTAGAACCCGGATCGCCTGAGTCCCAGTCCAGGGCGTGGGAGCAGGAGAAAGAGATGTACCTTTGGCAAACCACAAAGGGCCAGATTTGGCCTTGCAACCTGAAGTTCTGCACCTCTGCTGTAGTCCATGAACCCTTTTACATTCCAGCAGATAATCCATATGAAACAGCTGAAGAGGGCCTTCCATTTGTTTATTTGGACAGCTATCCAGTTACTCTGGGTGCTTTGCCTTCTTAATTCTTTATTATTTCCTCCCTGAAGGGTCTTATCAATATTTTGGGAACATAACCCTGCACAGCAAGCCCAGCATCACTGTCCAGCATCGTCGGGCAGGTGCCAGGACTGCAGAACCTTGGTGGGAGTCCCACATATGGCTGCCACTGCCCTTCCTTTAAAGCCATTTTGCTGCTCCTGAGTGGAAGGTGACTGCCATTTAATTTCCCATAATACCCCTGGGCAGCTGCCTAATGCTACTTCGAGTGCACTGGAAAAGTGCCCTGGGGAGCGCTCCCCGGAAGCCGGGATTCACAGGACACTGGGTATGTTCCAAATCTTCCCAAACTGAGCAGGCAATTTCCCAGTTTGGGGGTGCCAGCTAGAGTCGACTGCTCTCACCCACTTCCCACTTTTAGACCGTACGTGATTAGGGGAGACTCATAAGAAGCAACAGAGCCTAGGTTAGTCATGACCACCCTAACTCCCATGGATTCTTATGGGTTTAAGTATGACTGGACCGGGATCCAAACTATTATAAGTCTTGGTATCCCATCATAACAGTAGCAAGTCCTTCTCCCTGCCTCTTAAAAAAAATAAAGCAAAGGAATTTCTGTTAGTACACACGGGTCTGCATGCAATATATTTGATCTTCCAACTTTTTTTATGTTCCAGCCAATTTTTCTATGTTTACTGAAGTTCCTTAAATGTTACAGGAATGAAACAAAATGAAATTTCCGTACCCCCAGCTGGCAAAATCAAAGCCAAGTGTTTTCAGATCAGCTTGCTTAAATAGCACATTGCAGATCTCAGGCTGTTTATCATGGGCTTTGTTTTAGCAAACAAATATCAAGCACACAAGTGTTACCATCGTTGAAGTAATTCAGAACATATGGCTGACCATTCCTTTAAATTGAGTTTTGTTTAATAGACAGGATGGACAACTAATGTTGTATCTAGTTGATGGAATGAAATTTCCTGGTAGCTGGAAATTTCTGTTTCTGAATTAACTAACCATTCCACTTTGGAGATGGCCATCATCCAGCAGAAGGGAGGAAATGGGTACAAAGTTGGCAGCCTGAAAACACTGAGACAGCCCACAGAATTTTGAGCTGGGTGTCACTTTAATGGGTTGTCCCCAAGTTGCTATCTCAGCTACATTCCACCTTGTAGGAGTGCCTGTTTCCTCTACTTCTGCTCTGCTTGCGTATTTATAAATAAATTTTATTATGCATGTTCCAGGAATTTCTTCACTTCTCAAGGAAGTAAGAAATGATCAATCTTTGGGAAAGGTGACCAGCAGCTAGCAGAAACAGGGCCTTCTCATGGTTGACACCTTCTCTATGAAATCTCTTCTAAGAAAGACTAGCTATCCCCTACCCATCAGAAGTGGGATTGCGCCTTGATTCTCACATGCTGCTTATATTCTTTTAGAATGCTGCACTAGCTGCTTTTTTCAGTGAATACTGATTATGTGCCATGTTTCTGTGATTTTTTTGTTTCCCATACTATCTTTTATTGTTTCGATGTGACAATCTGGTATGTGTGTGTCTGTGTGTGTTTAAACACAAATACATTTTGCTCCCCCCCCCACACTCTAAATTGTATGTTTTTCTTATTATCCTACCATTATTATCTTATCAATGATGATTCCAAGCTCCAACTGCCCAAATGAGACATATTTCTGGCAAAACTAATGGAACAAACGAATGAACAGGCTTTCTTTCTAGAGGAATAAAGAGGAATAGGCGTGGGCAACTTATGCCCCTTCAGACATTTTGATCTACAACTCTCATCAAGCTTAGCCAGCATAGTTAACCCAAAAGAATTATGGGAATTGTAGGACCAAACTTCTGGAGGACCACAAGTTCTTCAGCCCTGCTTTGTACATACCCTAGTTAGAACAACACCCAATGGGCATGCATACCATAAAAACTTTCCGTGCACATGCATAGACTTCTGTGCCAGGATACTAAAGAAGCTGCAAGTGCATTTAGGACTAATCAGGAGGTACTCTGGCTTTAGAAAGCTTAATCCAGGAAGATGCATTGGGCAGAGTGTTTGGACTCACACTAGACCCACATTGGACCAAGGGTCCATTCAGTAGTCTGGAAACAAATCTTCCAACATTTGCCCAATGTCTATAATAAGCATTCTAGTATTCCATGTACTTGGGTGAGGGAAGGCCCTTGAGAATGAACTACCCCTTTGAATAAAAAATGGTATGTTGACATCATCAGAATCCAGTTGAGATCCAAACACCTGCTTGGTCCTCACTGCAACCATTTTAAAGAGTGAAGAGATGCTAAGGAGAGTGTAACACGATTTCTCAAGTGAAGATTCTGGGACACTGTGCTTTACTAGTTTATTGGTGGATTACACTCGTATCACACTCATCTTTCACCAAGCTCAGAACAGCCAACACAATTCCCTGGTACTTCCTCCTCCCAGTGGGGAGCCACTAATGCGATCAGATGACATCCACACATCAAGTAGCTGGCAAAAAGCCCATGGAAGTTTGGGCTCCGGCAGAGGAAGACCCATCTCTCTAAAGAGAACTGATAACTATTAGGGAACAACACGATCCCCTTACTAATCCTTTATCCAGCCACGGCATTGGGCAGCCTTACTGATCCCAGGGCCCAAGTTTCTATTGCAAACCTGAGGTTAGGGACTGCCATGATCTTTGTAAGCTACTCCAGCAGCCTTTTTGGCTGAAGGGTAAAGTCCTACAGCCCTCATCTTCCCTTGTCAGCATAACCGATGGAGATGGAGGATGAAACCTGTGTGCCAAAATATCCCGAGGGCCACAAGTTGCCCATCACTTCCAAGGAGTAATCATAGCAATCCTGACCACATATGGAAAGAGCTCCACCTGCTGGTAGAAAGATAAAGATCAGCACAGTGTTCCCTCTGGCTTTTTGGCTGCCCCTACTCCAGCCTTCTTCAACCTGGTGACCTCCAGATGCTTAGGACTTCATCAAGCTCCGGCCAGCATGGCCAACAATCAGGAATTCTAGGAGCTGGGGACCCAAATATCTGATGGGCAGTAGCTGCCTAATGAAGCTGAAAGGGTGAACAGCACAGCCACTTCGAACTAGGGTTCACAACCTCCGGCAAGAACAATCTGTCCCTTCCCTGCCAGCTATGTGAGAAGGGAGGAAAAAGAGGGTGGCTGAAAGAAAGAGGGAAAGGGGCCACCTCACCCACCTCTGGGTTTGGGCTCCTAACATGGCCAAGCTAATGCCAGCCTTTAACAGAAAAGGATTGAGAGCCCTGTCGAGAGAAAGTGAGAACAAAGGTCCATATAATCCACAGACACATTATTCACACACCAGCGTATTCACAATTCCTATAGTGCTCGTTGTCCAGGGCTTTGCAGTGTGTATCTCATGGAGCCTCATCGCAACTCGGAGGTAGGTCAGTCTAGCTCCCATTTTCGAAACTGGGGACCAAGGATGAATGAGCACAAGCCACCCAGGGATAGACTGCGAGTTCTGAGGCTGAAGCTGGGGCCTCACTCACACAAGCTCAACGTGTTTGTTGCTGCTTCACATTCTAACAAGTTTGCTATGGAAAAACTGGATTTGGATTAGGAAAGTTGCCACTTTAAGAATCCTGAGACCATCCTTTTTTCTCCCTCCCATCCATATTTTGTAGTTGTTGTTGTTGTTGCTCTTGTTTCTCATTGCACTGTTAGTCCACCCTTGGCCCCTAAAGCTTGGGCCACCGTACTGTAGGGCTCACTATTTTTTCTTGACTGCAACCTTGTTGAGGTAGGTGAGGCTGAAAGGATCAAATAGCAAGACTCGAATCTAGGTCCAGATCCCAACACTTTATAAGGTGGTTCTGGCCCCCTTTCAGTAGGGCTGCTTGTCTAAAACGGCGACCCCCTTCCTGGGCTACTAGTGCAGCAACCTCAAGGTTGAGAAAGGAAACTGGTTAAACAGGGACCGCTCACACCCACAGTGGAGATACGCTCTGGTGTTTTGTGTACAACCGTCTCCATTTTCCTCTTTGATGCCTTATACGTCACAAGCAAGGTAATTCTGTGGTGATCTCCCCGTAGTTTCACAAAGGGTATGGATTTGCACAGACACAGAAGTCATTCACACAGAACATCTTTAAATAAGAGGAATGTGGAGAATAAATACTGTACATAGAGGCCCACCTCCCAAACAAAGGGGAGGAAGGTAGATAAATATGTCTCCTGCTATACAGATAAAACCATTGTGGAAAGGAAGGGAGGGTGTGGCAGGAAAGTCACAGACGGAGTGGACCAAGTAACCAGGTTATGAGGCAAATTATCCTCGTGACTCCAGGGATCTGCGGAAACAAGAGAGAGAAAAGGGGAGAGGAAGCGCCAACAATGGGAAAAGTCAGATAAGACGTCCCCCTCAACCCCCCACCAGAAGCCCCATAGGGAGGGCTCATTTTGGTAAATCTGACAGACTCCAAGATGTTGTGTTTAGAATGAGTCTTTTTCCTGGTCCATGCTGCCCACCAGCTATACCTCCAGCTACATGCATCTATTTCAAGATAATCAAAGGTTGGTTTCAAGAATCTCTGTGTAGGAGCACGCAATCAAAAGGAACGCTCATTCATTTCTCAAGTTTTGCATTTGCACATGTGATAATGGGAAGGCTGCAAAATAAGAATTTCAGATTTGGAGCTGGGCAACCAGAGATGCGTTTTTCTGCCCGCTGAGGTCCAGGCTATTGCCACATTTCAGTTCTGGGCACAGCTTCATCTCCGCCCCAGCCTGATGACTGGCTGATGACTCAGCTGGAGCCCCGGCTGGATACAATGCCCTTCACTCAATTAGCAGTTGCATGAAAGGCTTTTTTTAAATGGTAAATTGCAGCTGTGGGGAGTGGGGGGAGGGAGGACACTCCAGACTGGGACTGTGGTTCAGCAGGAAGAGAGGAGCTCAGACTCCTGACAGAGCCCTGGGCAGTTCGCAGCTGAGTGACAAGGACTTCAGCTTCCCAGTTCTTGGAGAGCAGCAGTGGCCAAATGGCTCTCCTTCCCCTGGCCTTAGATCACAGAATCACAGTAGAGCTGGAAGGGAGCACGAAGGGGCATCAGGTCCAAACCTCTTTCAGGCCTCCTTTTGACACCTCTTTTTGGCTGTCAAACCTCTTCTAGCCCAAGGGGTAAATTCTATTTCAGAGAAGATCTCAGGAGCTACCTTCAAAAGGGCACCAGCAATAGTGGATTTCTGTGCAGAAGGACTAAGTGTGGAATTCCTGGGCTTGGCAGGTTCAGGTGTTACGCCGGGACACAGTATGTCACTGTGTGTAAGAGACATGGGACCAGGTGCATTAGCTCCACTCCAAGCATCCCACTGCAGGCCACCCTCTGCTCCTCTGTCCTTGAACTTCCTGCACTGAGGCCTCTGCTTGCAGGCACTTAAACACAAAAGCCCTCATCCACATGCAGTCAGGAGCCCTGTAAAGCTGGGTTCTAAATCACTCAGTAATGCAAGCTGAAGCCCCTTCAGAAAGCCCTCTGAGGAAATTGTTGGGACATTAGAGCTGGATCCGGCATGTGCTCTCTTTTGTCACTTAGAATTTTTTCAGCGCAAAGACCCAAACAGTACTGAACAGATAAGGGTTTTTTGCACTAGGATCTATGGGGGAATGCAACTGCCTTTCTGGACTGATGGACCCAAAGCTCCATTGTGCTCGGCCTACTCTTTTCAATTGATGAAAAGGTGTTCACAAAACAGGACATCCTCTCTGCTCTTCCCTCGTACGTTGTCTCCATCCCGAGGGACAAAGCAGTTCCCTTTCTAAGCAGATGGGAGGGATCAGTATTTTCACTGGCATGGAGTTTAGGAATATCCTTGAACACGGCCAGTTCCTTTTCTGCCCTCAAGGGGATTCAGATGAGGCGTCTCCGTTTTGTGGCTTGTGCTTACGAGTAGCTGTTGTGCTGCTGCCGGCGCCGTGCTGTCCGCATCTTCTCGAAACGCGCCTCCATCTCTTCAAGTACTTTGGGCGTGTAGCGCACCACCAGCTTCACGGTGCCCTGTGCGGCTTTCAGAAGCTCCACTGCTCGTTCATGTTGCTCACCCTCCACACTCTGTAGAAAACAAGTGCAACAGGATCATGCCAGAAGGCCTTGTCCTGTCGCAAACCTCCTGACCCTGCTCTTCATCTCCTGTCATCACAGTTACTGTCCATGCGAAACAGTAGCTCCTCTGCCTTGAAGCGGGACCTGCTGCAAAACATTGCATTGTGAAGTGCTCCTATTCAGGGTGCCAGCCAGGCCCACTTCTAGGCTGTTCCATTCCATTCCATTCCCCTTCCTCTGCTTGTCCTTCCAACACTCAGCCTGCATTCTGTGGCCACTCACCATCCCCACTGAAATGATTTCGGTTCCCCTTCCTTTAAGGCATTTCCCCAAACAGATTTTTGTTTGTTTGTCTGTTTACTTTTGCAAACCTTGAGGCCCTCCAAGCCTCCCAAAGCCTGCTTCTTATGCACAATTAGTGCTATTTTGACCATGTGAGGAATGAACTTGCTATCAGTACAAAAGATCCCCCCAGTAGTATAATCAGCCCCCAAACTAGCTGTGCTAGCATAGAATAGCCACCACCTCCAAGGGTCATCACTTCCCATTTAGTAAATTACATATCCCTTCACTAAACAAAGCCTTCTGATAATAATAACTGCTGAAGAGTTTGGCTCTGTTAGCTACCATATTCAGAAACAGCTCTTGTTGACATTGTGCTCCTGCTGGCCACCCATCCAGGCAATGACCAGGCTGACAGCTGTGGCTCCTAAACCACAGGACACCCCTGCTAAATTCCAAACTCAGCATCAGTGTCACACGTCCTCATCCTGGAGGGCCCTCCATCTATCTGCCCCATGAGCCCCCATTTCAATATGTGTTCCCCAGCACTAAGAGAAGGGAGGCTGTGTCCATGCGAAGTGCCATTTAATTTCCCATAGTATTCCAATGTAGCGTCACTATTAAGGCCCTGTGGGAAATTTAAATGCCCCTCCCCTGATTATGCCCTGGAATGACACTAAGAATGGAAGAAGAGCCCGGCTGAATCACACCAAAGGCTTCTAGTCAAGTATCCCATTTATACAGCGGCTAGCCAGATGCCTTTGGGAACCTGCAAGTAGGATGGGAGTCCAATAGGGCAGGACTCTCCTGATCCCCCAGCAATTGCCATACAGAAGCCATCTGACATGGGATGTAATATCCAGCTGTCATTGCTAGCAGCCCTTGATAGCTTTTAACTTCTGTGAGTTCATCGAATCTCCTTTTAAAGGTGACCAGGTGGGTGGCTCTTTGCCCAGGTGATCTGCTGCTGACTGGCACACAGCCACTTGCCGCTTCTGCTTTGCAAGGGACCAGGACCCACAGAGGTAAGAGGGCGCCCCTCAGACTTGGAGCTGCTCCTGCTTTGACAAGCCCCATCTGGGTTAAACTGGCTCAAGGACAGGTGGCACTTACCCATGACCCTCAGCCAGAGCACAGATTTGAACAAGGAACTGGAACAAACACTGGACAGGTTTGCATGATCAGAAAAGGAAAATAAGACACCCAGGGTTGCTTTTCTGCCCTGTGTGTGCTGCTAACTTGCTGCCAAAATATCATAATTTATCTCATTCTGCACAATTTGTGCATGTGGTTGTCAAACTGCCCAACAATCCTAGAACAAGCCATGAATTCTGGGGTGGTTTGAAAACCTCCCTGTCTTCCGGCCTTGCCGGGTTCAGACAACAAGACAAACCCTACCCAACAAACATCATGTTAGTAATTGGGCCGTGAGCAACCACTGTGCATGGGACAGGAAAATGAACCATAGTGGCTTGTTTTCTTTCCTGGATCCATACAAACATAGTCGTTCTGTCCTGAGTCAGATCCCCCAACTCTCCATCCAAACAGAGTAGACTTCCTCAACCTTGTGACCTCCAGTTATGTTGAACTACAATTCTCATCATACCCATCTACAGGCTAGGGGTGATGGAAATTGCAGTGCCAGGTTGGGGTAGGCCAAAAGAGAGTCTTGGACTAAAACTACGATACACACTCCCTTCCTCACCACAAAGCCTCCCATATTTCCTGCCAGCGAATACACACCACACCGTTAACTGACAGCAACTGATCTCCGCGCTTGAGCCCTCCGTGGCGGTCGGCCACACCTCCCGGGATGATGCGGGAAATGTAGATAGGAGAGTTTTGCTCTTTGCCCCCCATGATGTTGAAGCCCAGGCCTTCATCCGTCTTGGGGAGCTCCACCACACGGGGATGCGCGTGACCCTCGCTTGCAGCGAAGGCAGCCACTGTCGCCTGGAGAGGGGAAGGAGGGCGGACCGGAGTCCAGGTCAGTACTTATGGCAGCTGCAATGGCACAGACACTTGTTTTCAAAGCCACCCGTTTTCCTTTTAAGGACTGTTCCCCTTGGGCAGCCATTTCACTGACTTGTATTTAATTTGGCTCATCCTCATTTTATCACTCATGTATTTGTTAGAAATATTTCTGTACCTTCCTTTTAAGAAATCAGGATATTACAAAATATGCCCTAATATGATAGACAAGAAAAATAACAGCAATACTAAAAAAAACAACAAAAATTAAAAATAAGAAAATTAAAATTAAAACTAAAAAAACAACAACAACTAAGGCTGCAGCCTTTGACCACCCCCACAAATGGAATCTAGCTACTGAGAGTGTCTCCAAAATGCAGTTTGGCCCTCAGGCTGACATCTCTATGCTTTACTGTAGTTACACAACATGTGAACAGAAACAAAACAGACACAGTGGGGGTGAATGTGGCACATGGTATGGAACTCTAGCCCCCCCCTCCTCCCCCTCTTTCCTTTTGTATCTTTTCAAGTGAAAGCTTGCAGCCCCGGGCTGCCTTGTTTACTACTGTTACAATCAATCTTACGTAAGCCACCCTGAGAGCCTTTTGGGCTCCAGAATAGAGGAAACATGTTATTAATAAATGGGTAAATAGAAATTGGATACAATCTCAGCTTGTTTCTAGCAAAGATCCATTTTGTCTGGCAGCCGGAGGTCATAAAAGGTGCACAGGAAGAGCATGAGCGCACTGCCTCCAACAGTGAGCAGCCTAATGCCACCAGGAAGACTGGAGGCAGGACGTGAGGTCAACAGCTTTCCCTGGTCATTGCTTCCCGGAGCTGGCATTCTGTGGCTTCTCGCCTCTGAACCAAGAAGGTACACAGCACTATGGGACATCCTATCCTTCACACGTTTGTGTAGTCTTAAAAAAAAAAAGCATTTAAGCTGGTGATTGTCACTATGCTTTCCTGCCAGAACTTCCATCCTTTTCATGTTAATATTGCTAAACCACCTTTCATCTAGATGGATTCCAGGGAGACTGGTTGTACCAAAATTTGAATAAAATTAATCATCCCAATATAAACAAAATAATTGTGTCAGAATCAATGCACCCTAACAAAGCATCAACCACTTCTTAGAATAAACTTAGGGTAGATAAAATGATTTAAAAATGCACCAAGTTAGTTAGAAGAAACATGACTATCTAAAATATCTTGATGGAAAACAATAAAGCGTTTAATCAAGGCAGGAAAAAAAAGTAATGTTGGCTCCAAACCTACTCTTTTGGGAGGAAGTTCCAAAGACATGGTGCTACCACAAAAAGACCTTCTTATACATTCATAAAGGACCTCTGGAGAAGGTTGTAAGGCACCATGTATAGTACTGTGACACATATAACATATGCACACATGTACGCATCATATGGACATATGTACTATATACATATAAGGAACTATATATAACTACAAACACCTGTTGGCTGTAGGAAAATGTAAATTGTAGCCCCACACATTTCAGGGGCACCACATTGGGGAAGGCTGATGCATAGAAAGTGGATATCCATACATTTTGGACTTAGGATCCAGTATTCCTGCAAATTGGCCATGTTGCCAGGGCTTCTGGAAGATGAAGTCCATAACATCCAGCAATCTACCTATGGCCTGCCTCTGATGCATAGCATGAGCAAATACGGGGAACAGGGGAGCCATGCCACAAGAAGCACAGGAACAGGGTTATTCTAGTACCTTCGCGGTGGCGTGTGCTCGGATCTCAGGGCTTCCCGATATGTCCAATGTGTCATACAACTGCTCATAGACCTACCCAAAAGAGACACAAGCAGGGTGAGGAGCACGTCCATGGAGCACAAGGGTGATGCCAGGCAGGACTCAGACGCTGACCAGCATCCCAGAAACGAGTGTCTGCTTCAGGCGCAGAACCACACGAGATCAAAAGGACAGTGGTGACACAAAGATGGGAAATGCTGGTTATGAGGGATGCAGAAATAGAAGCAAAGGCGATCGATCGTATGAGGGGATGAGGGCTAACTGAAAGGCTGAATATGATGAAAATACAGATGTTGAAGAATTATAGACCATTTGGCAGGGTGACATGGAGGTATATGGGGGTCAAAGGGAGAAAGGACGCAGAGGCTCTGGGAAACAAAAGGAGACAGGTGAGCTGGCAAAAAAAAACCTGCTAGATTATCTCAAAAGGATGTGGGGCGGGGGGGGGGGGACAGGCCAAGCATCCCTCACCTCACGAATGGCAGAGCAGAATTTGCTTTGTAGTACCCTCTGAAGGGCTTGCAATTTCTGGGGGGGGCACCTCCCCACTGCGCTGCAGCCGCTCCAGCAGTTCAACCGCCCGGGCCACATCTAAAAGAAGGGGAAGAGCGCAGGCATCACTCTGGATGCAGAGGAGTAAGAGGAGGAACCCTGAACGCCCCAGCACCTCCATCATGCCTCCGGCTGCTCCATTCTCGAGACTTCCCAGAGAGAAATACCGCGGGTGGGGATGGAGAGAGGAACGGGCAAGATCCAAACCAGCTTCTTTCCAGGAGAAGCTTAGATAACCTCCTCAGCAGCCATGCCTAGGAAGGAGGGGGGAGCCCACAGGCACCACCTCCATCTTCCCAGAAGGCGGTAACAAAAATCCTCACCTTGCCGTCAGCCACGCGCGTCTATAGGACGGGCTGATCCTTACTGCATCCCTCAAATATCCCCCTTACCTGTCAACATACTGGAAGGTGGTTGGGGGGGGGGGGCGGCAGCGAGCGGGGCGCTGTGATCGACTCACTCTGAGCAGCCCCTTTCTGGCTCGGTGCTGACGGATCATCAACCCCGATTCATCGCTATCTCCTCCCCTCACGACCTATGTCATGTCCTCCCCCCCCCCGCCCCGCGTGCATCTCTCCCACTCCAGGCATACTTGACACAACGCGTCCGCCTGGCGACGATTAAACCAGTCCTCCCTCCTCCGCGGTACTTACCCCTCTCCAGTCCCAGAGGCTCGGCCAGCGCTGCCATCTTCACGCCCCAAGCCCCACCGCCGCCGTCTCGCACGTCAACGCGTGGAGAGCGGAGGGGAGGGAAGAAGCGCTGCTGCGTACGCGATTTGCAACCTGACACGCCACCCGGGTGCGCGTCTCGGCCCGGGCACGTGCATCAGGCGCCCCACCCGGCCCGGCCCGCTCGCTTCCGTGCACGAGCGAGGCCAGGCGGGGGAGCCTCTGCCGTGTTGCAAAAGGAAGGCGCGGCGAGCGATCGCCCGCATGCCACAGGCTGCCCGGGAGGAAGGACTCCCCCTCTGCAGAACTGGTCCAGGCATACTTCCCCGCGCCCTTTCCCACTCATACTTTAACCCAACGGACTTCGGCCTGATGCGCTCCAGATATTTTGAACCTGCTGTAGTCCACCGGGGCAGGAATGCTGGGAGCTGTAGCCCAAAACATCTAGATGGCATCCCACTGGGGAAGGCTACTTTAGGGAGCTGTAGCCCAAAACATCTAGATGGCACCCCACTGGGGAAGGCTACTTTAGCGAGCTGTAGCCCAAAACATCTAGATGGCACCCCACTGGGGAAGGCTACTTTAACCCATGTGCCACGAGCAGTGCGACAAAACTTGCTATTCATTCAAGCAAGCAATAGCAGCAAGAGAAACTACACCCCACTTGCTCCTCCGTGGCAGGATAGGGAGCTCCGTTCTTTCTTGACTGAAGAGTTCTTTGCCCTAGCGAAGCCTACCAGCCTGCCTCAATGTGTATTACTAAGCTGGGCGGTGTCATGTTTTTCCCAATTTGAAGGAACAAATTCCAGGCTCCATTGAAGAATCAGATCTGGCCTGACCTCCTTATATAAAAGTCTGGTCTCTTATGCAAACATTTGTTACAGCTTTCAAAGGCCTAGAAAGGGAAAGAGATTTATATAAATAAATCTACATTGGAGATTTATTTAGATGATGATGCCAGGAAAGATGTGTTAAGAGCAGACATCAGCAACTGTTGAGAGAAACTTGCTGTGGCCTTCTCAACAAGTGATTGCGTGTCTTCTTGTTATTTTTGGTTTAATTATGCAACTAGTCTATTTTATGGTGGTTTCCAAAGTACTTCAAGTACACCTAGCAAATACACACATTGCACAAATGTAAGCCATCATCAGCCTTCTCTGAGTATGGCACATTGCAGTGTGTCAATAAAAGGTTCTGTTAAGATATAAGAGTAACACAGAAAAAGAAACGTTGTGCACGCCAGAGTTTTCGGATAGGAGCCAGTGTGGTACAATGGTTACAAGATTCAAATCTCCAGTGACCAATATAGAGCCTGCAGAGTGAAACTAACAGTGTCAGCCTAATCTCTCCCACAAAGCGGTTGTGAAGAAATAGCATAAGACCATTTCCCTGACCTGGCAAGTGCTGGACTACAAATCCCATTGTCCCAGTCAGTGCCCATGCTGGCAGAGGATGATGTAAGTTGTAGTCCAACACACCTGGCAGGCACCAGGTTGGGAAGGCTAGCATAGTGAACAGCTCGAACACAGACTAGCAGATGGCACTGCCAAGCAAAGCACAGTTCCTTCTTTTTATGCTCACAGCCTCCGTATGTTTCACCCACACAACCGCTGCCATCTCAGGCAGCAATACTCAATTTCCTCCTCCAGTCTCAGGTTTGAACCAGATGCATTTATCGGGCAAGCTTGTTCCTTTGTGAAATTTTGTTTGCAACAACTTGCTCTTCTATGAAATGAAGTCACACTGGAGGTGCAGCAGGGAAATGGGAAAATGAGCCATTAAAATGGCTTTAGCAGGGTAGCAGTGATGACTGTATCAAATGGAAGTGGGGTTATTAAGATTCTGGAAGAAAAGTAGGGTCCTAGTTAATTATTACAATCAAAAGTATTTCTACAGCCTTCATCTCAACCCAACCATTCTAAGATTTCTTGATTTTAAGGAGAAGTAATAACAAAAGCACTTACAAGCTTTGCTGCTGGTTAAAAAAAATCACTCACCCCCTACCGTTTCCACCTCTCTCCATTTCGTGCCAACTTTGGCTTTAGCTTTAGCTCTGAGCCACCAGCATTACCAAGGTTATATGTAAACTGTGATTTCCCAGGAGCCTTGAATGTGGTACTGAGGGCAATATTCAAATATTTCCCAAAGAATTTCTGCTTTCAAGTCTTATGCTTCTGAAGCCATACTTAAAATACATGAACAATACCTACAAAGATCTCAGAAGCTAGGAAGCTCTATATGCAAATACTTGATCTACACTCTTACCATAGCTTCAACAAATCTTCCACTTTTTAAAAAAATGTAGAAACAGGGAAATTAAGAAGAGTTCTGGAACTGTATTCAGTTTAGACAGGTTACAAGATTCAACTTTTCTTGGTATACAATTTGGATCAGCTGTGCACAGACAGTTTCTTTTAGCAATGAGTTATAGCTTTAATGCTTTGCTTCTATTGCTAAACACTCCATCTTGGCTGTTATCCCTTGTCCTCAATAATAATCCCACCTAAATATCTACCCTTGCCCCTAACCAACTTAATGCCATCATTAGGACAATTCCAGGTAAACTGAACTTACCTTCAGTGTGTTCAAATGATCTTCTGCTTACATTTTTTTGAGTAAATATAACCACTCACCAGAGCCACTCCCCTTTAAAGTAAGGCACTTCCTTCTAAGGTATTTGTAGCAATTAAGAAAACCTCCTATAATTGCAATGCACAGCCTGCAGTTTGCATGGGCTTTATGTCCATATCCAACCTTTGCTGCTTTGCAACCATTTCACCAAAAGCAAAAACCTACATCATTATTCAATTACCAGTAAAGATTCCAGCAACAGTACTTTCACATGTAAATGTGATCTTCTTTGTGGATCTTTGACCCACTTAAATGCTGGAATTTGGCACAGTATTTCTTCAAATATGTCAGTCTCAACACACTCCACATGAAGGAGAATACACTGAACACTTTATTCTTGTTTAAAGAAAAATATCCAAATACACAAGGAACTGCTGAAAGGTTACATGTTAAGAAGAAATGGGGGAGGACAAGTAGAAATGAAACACTTACCCTTCTAAATAAAACCAGTTAAAACCAGTTATCTCAACTGGCTGATGGGATCTTATTGGCTAGGCAGCCTGGGAGGCAGAGCCTCACCTTGCAGGGGCAAAGAAACGTCTCCATTCATCACTCCAGTGGAGGCTCCATCATGTATCCATTCTCAGTGGACAAGTAGCCATCAGCTGACTGCATGGATTCTTGGTCCAGGAACATATCCTGGCTGGTTTCCTCCAAGGCCTCTCCCATTCCATTGTCCTGCCCCCTGTCCTCCCGTTTCTCCCCACCCCGTTCACCCCTGTCACGCTTGTGCTCCCGGTCACGGTCCCTATCTCTGTCCCTATCCCTTCGGCGCTCTCTGTCACGCTCCCTATCTCGGTCTTTGTCACGATGACTGCGCCGCCGATCCCTCTCTCGATCCCTGTCTCTGTCCCTGTCCCTTTCTCTAGCCTTCTCTTCCCCTTCGGGCTTCACCTCCAGCCCATCTACACCCATCTCTCCAAGGGCAGCCTCATCAGGCGGGGCATCAGGTACTTCTGGCAGCTCCTCCTTCTTGTCTCTGTCACGGTCTCGTTCTCGCTTCCGGTCCCTGGAGCGACTACGGCGCTTGCGCTCCCGGTCTTTATCCTTGCTGCGTTCCCGGCTGCGTTTCCGTTCATCTTTCTCTCGACTCCGTGTCCGCCGCCGACGCTCCCGGGATCGGCTGCGACGGCGTTCCCGCTCCTTGTCCCGGTCTCGGCTGCGGTCTCGGCGATCTCGCTCCCGTTCACGGTCCCGATCTCTGTGAGAATTAAGAAAGAAAAAACATCCAAGGGAACTTTGTCAACAGAGAAAATAACCCTGTTTACCATGCCACAACATTGCATGAATGTAAGCCAATAAATGAATGTGGTGTCTATACAGGAATAAGAACACATCTAGGCTACAAAGTGGTTTGTAGTTATCCTAGCTTCTCTCAAAGTTCTGGGAATCCTAGTTCTGGTTAGAATTTTCCCTCAACTCTTAGAACAATAGCAGAACCCTTTGAGCCTTAATTTTACTAGACTGAACTGGTTTAAATCCAATTTAAATCTGCACCAAACTGCAGCCTAAATGTCTTCTGTGAAACGCCACAAAAATACACCTACGGCAAACCCTGCGAAAGGCTAGCCATCTGAGCTGCCATCACTAGTCAAAGAACATGGTTTCTTAATATCAGTTTCTTAACCTTATGATCAAGAGGTTTCCAAAACCATGAAGATAAAAAATGCAGCAATGGGTCAGAACTCCCTATCTCTTGCTCCCCTGACAGCCTATAAAATCAATTTTGTAAAAAACAAAAACAAAAACAAAAACAAAAACAAAACCACACACACAGGCAAATTATATAAGATGTTCAAATTCAATCATTCTTCAGCCTTTATGTGTAAAATTTAACAGCTGCTGCTGCAACTGATAAATGTCTAGTTTAATATATCTGGGTATCTGCTTTGGCTCTAAGTTCTCTTTACATTTTAGTATGCAGCAAGAACAACGATAAAACTTTGAATGAGAGTAGCCACCAGCAATTCTTCTGTTGCTCCCAGGATCAGAAATGAAGCCGCTGTACTGGTGCCAGAGGCACCCACTGCATTCTACTCCCCATACAGCTCAGCTCACCGTTCATCATAACGGGAAGTGTCATCCCGGCCTGAGTGTCTGATGTTGACGTCAGCCCCACCTCGCCGGGTACCACCGAGACCACCACCTGCAGAAGAGGTGAAAAAAAGGTTGGTTCTTTACAATTTCATTCACTCATTGTGAAAGCAAGAAGAAGAAATACCCTTCAGGAAGTTTTATATGCAGTGTACGCAGTTCTATTTAAAAATGGTATCTTGTGAGCTAAACTCATGTGAAGCCAGAGAGAGAGGAAGCAGACTCTCAAAAGTCCACCATCTCCAAGGATCTGAGTCACAAATGCTGTGGAAACTATTTTCCCCAGTGAACACACTTCCACTTTCCAAAAACGAGTTTCTGTCAAGCAAAGAGGGATCAACAGCATGGAATGTAAAGCTTGAGCCATCAGGTTAGATTCCAGGACTTGGGTAAGATTTCTTTGTTGTGTAACTGCACAGGATCCACAAGTAGTCCTCATCTAATCCAAAAGCCCCACAGAAAGCATCAACAGATGCCTGCCCAACATTACTGAGCTGAGAACAAGGTCCTTCCATCAGCCCTGCTAAAGTCCCCCCCACCCCCATGGAGATTCTCCTCCCTCAACTGTTATGAAAAGCTACCTTTTCCAGCAGGCTGTACTGAAGATAATGAGAAGGAAAAAGGAAGTCTATACCATCGGTCCTGCCAAAATAATTAATTTTCCCTCTTCTATCCCCATTCCTTTCTCCTTGAATGTCATGTCCTGTTAGACTGTAGGCCTGTGGGCAAGGACCATCTTGTTTGATTATATGTAAGCTCTTCTGAGAGACTTTGAGTAGTATCATAAAATAATAAAGAAATATTTCTAAGAAAGGAGGATGGATGAAGTTAAGGAAGCTTTCTCAAAAACTCAATTCATGAAATTCAATTCTTGGCTGGTGTGGTGATGAAAGAACCTGAAAGATTCAGGTTGTAGTCCCCATTCAATCATGAAACTCACTGGGTGATTTTGGGCCAGTCACTCTTAACCTAACCTACCTCACAGGCTTGCTGTTGTGAGAATAAAAAGCTGCCTTGGGTTCCTCACAAAAGAAAAGGTAGGATATAAATACAATGAAAGAATTAGAATTACTTGATTCTTAGCCTATCCATCCTTCATGACAGTGAACAGTGACAGTGAAATTGTTTCCCCTTCTTATATTAAAAAATTGACAATGTATATTTTCTCCTGACTTTAGGTTTCATTTTTTCTATTAGGCTCACTCAGATTCTTTCTGCCCATTTTCCTCTCCTCCTACTAAACACCACATTCTTCTAACAGTGAAGGCTGACACAAAATACAGCAGCCCAACAATTCTGCTGTGTTCAGAAAGCTCAGGCTAATGCAAGTATTCCAGCTTCAGGTAAGGACAGAAGTGGTCCAGAAGAGATGGCAACCTATTTGATCTAGTGCTTCCACACACACTTACCAAGTCTACGTGGACGCCATCCTTTCACCGTCCGGCCTCGCTCTACATCTACCAGCACCCGCCGGCCATCAATTTTTTTCCCATCGGCGTGCTTGTATGCCGCTGCAACAGATTAGGAGGGATATCCAGGGGAAAGGAAGGGCAAAGGGAATGGCCATTATCCACAGTGCACATAAATAAGCCCACCCTCCCCCAAGTACACATACCACACACGTAGTGGCCCCACTACCCTTTTGGCAAGGGATTGCTCCACATCTGTCTGGGAAGCACTGCCGCATCGAGCATTCTGCGAGAAAACCCGGACAGCACAGTGCTTGCCTTGCTTTAAGCAGCTAAATCCTCATGACCGTGGCAGTGATGGGTGGGGCTGGCAAACCCACCTCATGCGCTGCCTGAACACAGCTGCCACAGAGCCACAGGCCCCCTGAGCTGTGGAACAACCCCAGCTCCACCCCAAAAATACAGGCCCCCCAGCTTCCGCTGCAAAAAAAAGGAAGGTTATTGAGCAGTCAAGACATTCGCACTACATACATCACTTGCCCAGAGGGGAAAAGGGCTGGGTAGAAACAAGCAAGCCATCCACCCCAGCCCTCCCAGCTCACTTCAGAGTGGGCCAGGCTCTTCTGATCTTTCAGGAGCACCCCTAACCAGCCAGTCCCAAGATAGGCCATGCCAAAACCCCCACCAGAAGCAACAGCTCCTGCTGTTAAAACAAACAAATAATTGAAAAACAAACAGGTGAAGGGGAAAGGGGTGGAGAGAAGAGGGAGATAGTAATGTTGCATATGTTACGGAGGTAACAGAATGTTTGGCAGGGAAAAGAGAGGGTAGTACGCACAAAAAGGGTAAGAACACTCAGGGAACTGGCTGGCACCCACTTTCAACAACCCCAGCCCACTTCACCCCTCTACCCCACCCTTGCTGCTATCATCCCACTGCAAATCTCTAGGATGATTTTCAGGGAAGGGAAATGTTCTCAAGCCACTTGCTAGGGGTGGGGGTGGGGCGAGCACAGCTAACATGTAAAAAGGAAATAAAAGCATTTACCTGGAGAAACTACTTACAAAACCATTGCAACTTTTAACTCCTCAAACTCACTGCATCGGGCTGCTAGCGCTGGGGCCCGAGGCGCAGCTCCCCCCTGCCCGGGAGCCCCCGGCTGGGGCGGTATTTTGGGTTTGCATTTTAGCTGCTGAGCCGACCTTCCCTGCCTTACCTGTCTCAGCAGCGGAAGTCGGACACTCAGGCCCCCACCCCTGCCAGCCCCCAGCCCCCCCTCCTCACCCCACTCCCCAAACTAGGTAAAATTCTTAATTAAGAGCTTGAATTCCATTTATGCCTTTGGGGTCCTTACAAGCTTCATGGTCCCATATCCCACCAACTCTTAAAACCTACTAAAGCCATCCATTTGTGGCAATTAATCCAAGTGTAGCAAAAGGCCACACAATCAAGTACACTAGACACTACTAAATCTTCAACCCACACATTTTGGAAATATTTTCCTTTTAAGAATTTTCCTTCCAAATTCAAATAGCCAAATATTAGCTCTGTGTATGGGTAATTATAAAATGTTGGTGTCTTCAAAAAATGACTGTGTATTTATTTTGGGGATACTTTAAAAATCATTAAATGTATGGGGGAACAGTGTGCATACAGTTATTTTTAGAGGAAAAATGAAGTAAATATTTGTTTTTCAGAAAAATACATTTTAAAAACCAGCAAGGTTCACAAAGTCAACCATATGCATTTACTACATATTAAAAAGGGAAATCTTTCTCTTTGTGTAGACACATAAAAAAAGATAAATTCTGTCTTATCTCTTCAATATGTGCATATGAAGATAGATGTAAGGATCTTCTTCCCCCTTGCTCATATACTCACTGATAGAAGTGTAAATAGTAGTAGTGGCAAACCACCTTCTCAAGAGAAACAAATGGCAAAAATATTCCACTCTATGTAAGTGGGAAAAATATTCAGGCCAAAAAAATTAGATGATGATGATGATGATGACAATAATAGTAATAATATCATCCATTTCGAACAAAAGGCTTCATAAGAATAACGACTAACTGATCACCACAAAACATTTCCTGATTTACTCAGAAAAGCTTTGGCTTTTTTTTAAAAAGTCCAGAAATCAATCTCTTTGAGTGGAAGATGCATTTTTTCCAATTCTTTGTTATTCTCCCTGCCTCCATTTTTTAAACCATGGAGATACTTCAGCTCCTAAAAAGAGCCATGGAAGATGGTGATGATGATCTTGTCAAGCCCTAAAGTCAAACTCTGTCCAATGACCAATGGCAAAGACGTCATCCTGAGCTTTGAAGCGACCCATCATTGCTGAGAAACAGCAGCCAGTCTGTTTGGATGTTGGGGCATGATGACAGACCACCATCCCTTACAATAGAGCCTCCAAGTTAGTCTTATAGCTCATCTGCAGACAGGGCAATCGGCAGACCAAAGTCAGCAAGGGGCAGTCTCCCTGCATCATGTATTCACCACCATTTTATCGTAGGAAGGAGACGAAGCTGGGCCTTTTCCAATGAAGAGGTCAGTCCGTGGTTGGGAGAGTTGCAAAGTGCTTACCTGAAACCACCCTCAGTATTGCATCTTACCTTTTGGGGACATTTTACAATTAAGAACAATGGTCCTAGCATAAGACTCTCTTAACTTTTCTCAGGCCTTTCAAGGGCTTTTAGGAGATGTGGGGAATACCCCCTGGTATGATGGGAAAACTCACCTAGAACAATTCTGATATTACAATTAGGCTTGAAAGGTTACTATCCAAGCCTTTCCCCCATCTCTAAACTCCCAATTCAAAACTTTTAAATGCCAAGTTGGATCCTCTAACTCTTTTCATTTCTAGAAGAGGTCAACTACTGCAACCTCTAAAGATGAGCTGGTGCATTCATTTTTAATAAAGGAATCTTACTGCAAAGAGAAATTCCTATAATTCTTCATGCTTCAACATTATTACAAGGGACAGAGGCATGCCGACAGAAAGATATTTTGTTTGTTCTACTTCTGTCATTTTTATTGGACAGCTATACCTTTATAAGAACAAATACAAACACAAGAATGTATAGGAATAACTCATCTTGTAGCAAGATAGCTATGTAGAGAAGATGAACATGCAACTCTCTGAAAGTCACACCCACTTAACAGAGTTTAGTACAGCTAACACTCTGGACATTTTTTCTTATAGAACTGCAAGGCTGGGAAAGGACTTTTTGCATTTACAAAGTCCTTTGAGGAGCCAACAATGAAAGCTTGTCACCAACCACACAAGGCAGCTTACAGCTCCACTACTGAACACTTAGGTGCTGTTTGTTCCTGTTTGCTTACAGAAGATCCAAGGACAGATTTAACACTCCTTTGCTTGGATTCATAGGTCAGCAGTTATGCTTCAAGGGCAAAGGTGGATTGTTGCTTTAATTAACTTACAACCCAGCCAACTGTGCCCTACAACAAAGTACAGATACACACCAGCCTTTACAGTTTGTCAAAAGCAATAATATTAGGCTAAATTCCCAGAGGGTTAGCCACATTAATCTGCTGCAGCAAAAAACAAGTCTTGTGGCACCTTAAAAAACGAATTTATTCTGCCATAACCTTTTGTGATGACTGTCTAGTTCATCAGATGATATAAGATGCACTATTCACATCGTGAATTTGATGACTTGGACAGTGTCCATGAAAACTTATGCCAGAATAAAAGTATTTGACTTTAAGATATTGCAAGACTCTCAGTTGGTTAGGCTATAAGGTACTCTAGATCTTGTCTTGCAATAAAGGACAAGCTAAGTAAACACCTTTCAGAATGGCCCCTTCTAAAACCTTTAATGACATTAAAGCTCCTAAAGCCCAATGCTTAAAGACCTTTTCTAGAATGCATCCTTCCAACTACGAATTCAGGTTAGCAACAGAAGTCCTGAATTGTAATAACCCTCCCTCCTGGCATTCCTAGCTACTGACTGCATTGGGCAGTGTTGAAAACGCCAGATACTTCACAATTGAAAGAACTAAGCTAAAGGAGCCAGACAGAAAAGAAGATAACAAGAAAGAACAGCAAGGAATGTGTGATATCTGAACTGCCCTCTCTAGCAGTAATTAGAAACCCAGCAACATTGGTATAGTTGCCTGCTTGCATGTTAAAGCCCACATCAGGGAACTTACGATGTGGAACCTCTGTGGAGACAGACGTCCCAACCGTGTCCCACATGAAGGCCCATTATGGCCTTGGCAAGCCTTGCCAGGGGTAGCAAAAGGAATCCATCTACCCAGCTTTGTGCCCCAAGTCAGGCTAACTACCCAAACTGCCTCAACTTACTAACTGAAAGCAGAGCTCAAATATCCTCAGTCCCATTTCCTATCAATTGAAGGACCAAGAGCACAAGCAAAAATATGCACTCCCTCCTAAGAAACACACATCAGCCACTCAGGGCTTGTGCACACTTAATGTGTTTTAGAGGTGTTTACCAGAAATCATTCATCCCCAAGTTTGAGCAGAGGTAGGATGCAACTCTTCCTAGTAAATAATTTTAACCAATGCATTTCTGTACCTAGAAATAAAGAACTTCCCAGTACAGAAGTTAAAGGATAAAATGCAATGTGCCTGCCCAGCCCTTAGATGTCTCGACCTAACTGACATGCCCGCAATAATGGGGAAGAACTCTCCATCCCTAAGTACAATGTTTGCTCTATTTAAGCATCTCAGGGTATAAACTTGCTGTGCATTAGGTTAACATAGCTGTGCAACTAACTCAAAGGAAGGCTGCCTACGTCCTGAAGTCACCCACACCTCTTCAGTTCACACCTAAGTTGCCCAGTCACTTCCACACACCCCTCCTTGTCGAAGTGCTGCCTATTTTCAAAATAGAATTATGGAGGCTACATGCACAAATCTTTTTCAACTTAGGAGCTAGCAAACCTTGAGGTTTGGTAAGATACAAAAGAGCTGTGTATGTAGCGGGGTTATGTAAACACAAGCTGCCACACTGTGGCAACTGGCAAGCAGCTCTATCCCTCTAACACTGCAGATGCACTTGACAGTGCAATTGTTACTGGCCACAGATGACCAAGAAAGGCTACCTTTAAACAACCTGTTTTTACGTAAATTGGGAAGGTTAAGTGTTTCCCCACGCTTCTAAGGAGCACTAATCAAATTCAGTAGAAACTTTAATCTATGTTTATAAAAATATGCTGAGGCTCTCAGATTAACCTCAAGCCTTATTAACATTTGTTTCTACATAATTAGATTAACATTAAAATTATTCAATATGGTATAAACATTTTTACAAAGAATGGTTAAGTGATCCTCAAATATTGATTTATTCTAATTAGTAAGAAAAGAGGAAATACTTATTTTGACCTAGTCATTCTGAGGTGGTACCAGATGTGCCAATTTCCATCAGTTTCATCTGGGGCAAACAGAAAGGCATTAAGATACCCAACATCTTTCATCTCTCTGAACGTCACTTCAAGGTTGCCAACCTCAGTTCTATATACTGCAGGAACTATAAATGGCATATGTGTGGCTTGGAGAGGGAGGGTTAACTCAGGATATTTGAGCCCTACCAAAGAGGGCTGACCTATTCTTCCCTCCCTCCCCAGTGAATTCATGCTGCAAAATATAGGGCCAACAATATCGTATGAGGAACCATTTCTCCTTCTCCTTCCACACTGCAAGAGAGCACCACAGAAGCCAGAAGAGAAATACGTTCCCCAACCCCTTCCTTCCCTCCACCCCTAACTAAGCTATGTTACCTAGCATCTGCCTTTGACCTGGCTTGTGTATAGAAGTGTGTTGGGTACTGAGGTTTCTTACCAATTATACAAACCCTTATACCAACCATACAATGAGATGTTGTAAAGGGGAAGCATAAGGATCAGCTGCAAGCCAGCAGTGGCAATAGCCATCAGAAAGGTGGCTGCAGTGACAATAAGAACACAGAATTAATACACCCCGCTCACAACACGCCTCTCGACAACAGCATCTTTTCAAAACACAGCTTCAGGTCAAAGTTACACTTGCTTTAGCAGAACTTCTTCACAGCATTCATTCTCCCTCTTAAAAATAACAGAAAGGAGATGGGCAACAGTTCAGAGTGAGGGGGCAGCCCGTATGACCCTGCTGGGTCCCATAACGCAAACAGTAACTTTAGCCTGCTCAAAACAATATTAGCAGGACTAGCTGCTCACCCTCAGCCTACAAGATCCCCCCGCCCCCAAAAAACACAAGGGAATTATGGTGAGTCAAGAGGTGAACTGTTGCCTGTATTACTTTAGTACACACAATAAATTTGCAGCACCCCAGCTACGTTAATTTGCTTTCACAACAAGACAAAGAAATGGAAGTGACATGCCCAGCAGAGAGAGCTCACCTGTAGCAGCAAACTAAGATTTCCAACACCGAATCCACTTGAATTATAAAATCTATACAGAGAAGGGGGTAAAAAGTCTTCCCTTCTAAATGCAACTGTTAATATGATTTAAATGATCCCCTTGAAAAACTATCAGGGCCAGATTAACGGAACTTGGGTGCTCATTAAACCAAGCAAGGCTCCCCAGCTCTGTACTTACCTGTTGATGGGGAGCCCAAGCCCTCAAATAGCTCAAGGGCTTTGAAAAATTAAAGAACTTTTACAAAACACATGCTTTGTTAACAAGATTTAATTTATAAAACACATACACAAAAGACACAAAAGCACCCAAGAAAAGGACTGTACTTACAGTGCATGTCACGCTCATGTTCATATTCGATGAAGGCGTAACCACGTGGCTTGCCGGAGTGCTTATTGTACACCATGTAGATCTGAGAAGAAATCAGCAATGACAGGAAAAACTGAGATGAGGCCACCTCTAAGCAAATTAAATTAACACAGGAATTTCAACTGAGTCCCAAAAAAGTACCACCTTAGAAAACCCCATCACTTAAAAGTCAACCACTTGTATTAGCACCCTCTCACTTCCAAGTTCCGTTGCTAACCTTGCTCTCTGTGGTATCGTTGAAGGAACAATTCCATACAATACCTCTCTGATAGAGAAAAATATCATTCATTATACAATTCTTTTAAAAGAAACCTAGCAATTCCCACTTCCCCTTCTCTATAGTGACAGGGCTACAGAGAAAGGGAGGGGAAGGCACAGAGTTAAGTAAAGAAATGGATCTCAGGGAATAATATCTACCATGGATGAACAAGCTTCCAGGGGGGGAAAAAAAGAAAACTGCTGCATTATGGGACTTCTGGAGGCCCCCACAAAGCACTTCCACTTCCATTGCTCCCCACTAGCACTATGAATACAATGAGCTTGTAAAATGGAGAGAGAAAAATGACCCTTAAAAATCAGACTCAGCTTACATGAAATGAGAAAACCAAAGAGGAACAGACATGTGCAATACTTCTAGTAAATATATTTCAATGAAAATAACCGTTGATTTGAAAACTACCATATAAGGGGAAGAAGATTAAGACTCCTAATAGAAGAGGGAGAAGTTAAACAGGAATGTGTCTTCAATCTAGAAAATGGGTAAACCTCAACTCCTAAGTTCACCTAAGTGAATTCTCCATGAAATTAGGCAGGTTATAGGGTTAAACAAATGAATTCCACCCAACTGTGAAATACTGACCTGCAAAATTCAGGTCTTGGCCTGAGTTGCCCATCAAGAAACTTAAGGAAAATAAGCTAGGGTGTCTTCTTCTAAAGAGACTGAAAAATAATTTACCCACTTACTCTTTTTATAGGTCCATAGACTTCAAATTCCCGCCTCAGCTTGGATTCTGTTGTATCATAGTTCTGCAAAGGAAGTGGGATGCCAAATGAGAAGGCAGAAAGACCCTACTGGTTGAAAGCTGAAGACATAAGCCCACCTAAGGCTGTTGAAAAAGCCATTTAATTTAATTCATATCCCAGCCCCTCCTTAAAAAATTGTGAACAACATATTTGAAACTAAACATTGGGCAAAGGAAAAAAAAGAGGTTACTTACAACTCTGGCCACAAAGAGTGTCTTGAAGGCATCTCCTTGGGCATTGGGATCGTTGTGAGGGTCCCCTGGTTGGAAAAATAAGTCACCAAATATTATGTGAAGGAAAGAAAAATATATTGCTCTGTTTTTCCTCTTATATCTGCCAACACTAGGTCCTGTCACTATGAAACATTAGAGCCACTGCAGATATATTAAAACAGTGACATGACTTTCATTAATTTAATTCCTTCCCACAACTCCACAACTTACACATCTTCAGCTCACTCTCAACCTCTTGCTGCCGGCGCTCAATCTTCTCTCTTCTCTGCAAAGAAATGGGGAAAAATCAGTAACATCATATTACCCAGACCAGTTAAACACACATATCTTTTTGCACCCTACTGGGACCATCCATCTCAGCTGCTGCTTTTTCTTTCTTTTCGAGACTACCAGCACATAACCAGGCACAGAATTCAATGTATTCTCTCACACAATCTAGAATCATGCTTACATATAACACGGGTTTTTATACACAAATGAGAGAAAACAGACACACTGCCCCAGGCATGGCCACCACCTCTGCTTTTTATCAAAAATCTCTGATTCATTAATAGATCACATGGTATGCAAACCTGGAACTGGACTGCTAGCAGTAGGACAATCTAGCAGTTAACCAAACAAATCATGTTGTTTTAGCCCTTGAACGACTCAACACTGTGGGTGCACACATCACACTCAAAAATGCATGAACAGGTTGTTGATTAAAAGTGGAAGTAGCAAGTGTGGAGAAGGCAAGGCACCTGCTTTCTCCCACGACACTCTGATGGTCAACCTCTGGGCTGTTATTACATGTAAACTGGCGTAAGGAGTCCTGCATCAAAGCTAATGTTGCTCTAATCTACACACTAGTATGCATACCTTCCGTTCCATCCGTTCCTCCCGGGTCTCCGCACGAGTGGGTGGAGGAGCATCGCGTGGGTCCTGGAAGAGAGAGCTCATTTTTAATAACTGACTCTTAACATATAATAAAGGAGACACACACAAAGTATTGAGAAAGCGCTTACTGCTGTAACAGTCATTCTGATTCTGTAAGCACTAATCAATGTCCTAACAAATTACCACAAGCCTGAGACAGTCAGGCCAATCCTGAAGAACTCACCTCAAACTCTCGAATGTACGGAGCAATGCCACAGTAGGGCTGATTGTGGTGCTTCTCATGGGGCAGTTTCTCCAAAGGGGGCAGATAGGGTATAGGATCCCGAGGAGCAAATAGCGCCAATAGATTTGGGGGTAGAAACTGCGTCATTTTGGAAAACCTGCCATAAAGGAAAAAAAAAAAGAAAGAAAAAACTGGAGAATTTCAGATCAAAGCAAAGATGGCTGATGCAGCCATTGCCCTAACATTTTCATCATAGAAATGGAATAACTATTATGAATCCACATACACATGGAAAATTTAAATTTATAAAGCAAGGGAAATGTGCCCAAAAGGTCAATTCTGCCCCTAAGCTGGTGTTATATGGACTCTCATTACATCCCTATACAGCTTAACTCCAAAGTAAATCCCACCATTCTCACTTCAATATCTGCCATCTCTTACCTTCCTCTCTTCATATAAGCCTTTATATTCACCTGCTATTCCCACCATTTACCCCTCAAGTTAATTTGGTCTATAACTCTCAACACTGTTGACCATTGACCATGTTGGTTAGGGCCAATCAGAACTGTAGCCCAAGGTATCTGGAAAGCCCTGGTTTAGGAAAAACTGGCTCACACTATGCCTTCCTAGCAAACCTACAAACACTTGTGTTCATGGGGAAATCAACAGCACTTAATAATTGAGGTAAGGAGTGCACTGTACAATTCTGAGCTTTGAATAAGAAAATTTTCAGTATGAACAGAGACCTGGCCTGGCAGCAGGTAGTAGAATCTTGAGTTGGTAGAGAGGGCTATACCACTTCAGATGATGCATGGGGGACTTGCTATTTTGTAGTTCCGCCTCATGTACAAAATGATACTGTGTGTGAGTAGGTCAAGACTAGCAAAAAGAAGGCTTCTAGTCTTGATGCCTCTTTACAATGTCAGGTCTTTCCCCCACATTCTTTCAGGGATGAAGAGTATTCAAACATGTGATTCCCCCCAACTGCAATCACAGGAGGTACAGCCCACTTTATCACCTCAGGATTCCAACACCTGCCAGATGGACAGAGAGCTCACTTAGGTAAGCTTTAAGCACATCACACACTCAGCTTCAGCTCCATTTGCAATGGTGGGCGGAGGGAGTAATCATACAGCAATACCTACATTGCAGGGTTGTTGTCAGGTTCCCATAAGTGGGTGAAGAGGTTTGAATACTTGCACATATGCCTTTCCCTAAGCTGGTGCCTTCCACATAGTCTGGATTACAACTCCCCACATTCCCCGGTCAGTCAGGTTGATGGGGGGAGTTGGAAGTTATAACCAAAAAATCTAAAGCACCGGTTTGTGGAAAGGCAAATATGCGCGCGTGCATTATCACAATGTATTATTATTACTACCACCCAGCAGCTTCCTGGATCTTCCCTTCCCCCTTCCGATTCCTCGCCCACGATCTCAAGCTTACCTCTTCCTTCCTTCGTGCAGTGGTCAACCCCTGCCCCCGTCCCCAGGCCTCCTCCCAATCCAGATCAATGTATTTCTCCCTAGACTCGCACCAACCCAACACCCCCTCGTTATACGCAAGCCTCTCCCTCTGGCCCAACCACACGCGCGCGTGACAGACAAAAAGACAAGATTGTCCTTCCCCACACATGCACACGTAGCAACACCAGCCCCGGACCCACCCAGGCGGACCGCGTCCCCCCCCCCCCACACCCACACTCTCTCTCTCTCTCTCTCTCTCTCGCGCGCTCCCTCTCAGCCTCCCCCTTGCCGCAGTATTCACCCTCACTCTCCGACCGCTACTCGGCGACTCCCGCCGCCTCAGGCTGGGCCTACTCGGCGCTCCTTCTACGCATGCTCGGCTGGGGGTCTAGCCGTCGTGCCGAGATCCTTACGCACCGGCTCTTGTTTCTCTTGCTGTTCTTATTGATCCTTCCGCGCAAGGTATCCCGTTGGGAGAAAGTGCGTGGAAGAGCTGGGAAAGTAGTTCCTTTGACAAGGCAGGGCGAAAGTGGCCCAAAGTCTGGTTCCGAAACAGCGAGAACCTCTCAGCCTGAAAGAGGCATCAACTTTCTTTGGGTAAAGTTGGTAAATGACTGTCGTATGCTCTACAAGATTGTTAATTGACTCAACACAAGCCTATTGTGAACTTGGCTAGGAGCTTGATCTCTGGTTTAGCAGCAGCCTATTTGGTTTGGGACCAGTTAATGTATTACGCTAGTGAGCAAGTGAGGTAAAGGAGTGCCTTGTTCCGGATGAAGTTTTTATGGTGCAATCACAGTATGTCATTTGTGGACTACACATAACATTGATGCACAAATCAGTAGGTATAACCTACACAGATACAACCATGCAAATATCAACATATAGCTGGATCAGAAAAAAGAATCATTTTCTTTAGACATCAGCATGTGTGCATCCTTGAAATGCAGCTGACACAAACCAGTCACCATTCCGGAGACACCAAGCCGACACTTAACAGATAGCAGCCCAAACAAAGGGTAATTCACTCCACCCTTCCTCCTCCTCCTCAGAATAACAGCCCATCCTCCTTTCCTCCTTGAAAGAATCTTCTTTCTCTTTGCAATGCACGTTGGAAAGTTCATGTAACTTTTCACTTCTGTAACCTATTAGAAAGTGTTAGCTGTGTTACTATAACCCTTTAATGATCAATGTATAAAAGGACCAACTGAGGACTGTTCAGGTGCACCATCTGGAATGATTAGTTGGTAGCTGGTTATTCTCAATCATAAATCCTTTAAAGAAAACCTTCCCCTGTTATGTATTTTGGGCATCAACATCTTCCACTTGTAAAGGTACCCCATTGGCCAACAACTTTTTCCATTTTTCTTTCCACAAATACATTTAAAATAAAAGTGTTTCCAGTCCTAGTGCTAATGAGCAAAAGAGAATTTATTTATTTATTTATTTATTAAAACATTTTTATGCCGCCCCATTCGCCGAAGCCTCGGGGCGGCTTACAACATAAATAAAACAATAAGTTAAAATATCAATATAAAATAATCTTAATTAAAACACACATTATAAAATAAGCCGCCCTGGCCAGATAAAATTCAATTGTATTTAGCATTTAAAATGTTGCTTAAATAAAAAGGTCTTAGCCTGGCGCCGAAAAATAATGACGGCGCCAGGCGGACCTCTCTGGGGAGCGCATTCCATAACTTAGGCGCCACCGCTGAGAAAGCCCTTCTCCGAGTAGCCACCCTCCTAATTTCTCTCACGGAGGGCTCCTGGAGAAGGGCCTCTCCCGCCGATCTCAGGGGGCGACTGGGCAAATATGGATGTAAGCGCTCCTTCAGGTAACCAGGACCCAAGCCGTTTAGGGCTTTATAGGTCATTACCAACACCTTGAATTGGGCCCGGACTTCAATGGGGAGCCAGTGAAGCTGACGGAGAACTGGAGTCATGTGAACATAACGTCCAGTCCCCGTCAGCAGCCTGGCAGCTCTATTCTGAACCAATTGAAGTATCCGGACCGTCTTCAAGGGTAGCCCCACGTAGAGCGCGTTACAGAAGTCAAGACGGGAAGTCACCAGCGCATGAGTCACTGTTGCAAGAATGTGCCTTAAGGTTCAAAAGCACTCCAAACTCATCATATACTCAATGACAGTCAACCCCTGTGTGGATTAGGGAAAACGTTCTTTCCAAATACCAATATAAGCAAAGATGGCCCAGCTAAAGCTAGTCATAACCAGTCTAAACTGGAACTAGAAAGCTAGGACAATGGGAGGAGCAGAGATTGGGTGGGTGCTGCATAGGAACTTTGCTTTGCTTGTGTGTATGTAGTCTCCTTTATTCTGGAATAAAATGGCCTCCTTTTGAAGAAGTTGTCTTGACTGGTTTGTTATTGGTCAGGCATACCAGGCAAACTCACAGCCTTATGAGGCTTCCTAGATTTGGGTAACACATCTGAGAAGGGCTTTACCACAGGATTCTACCAATCTGACCTGGCTTATTTGGCAGTCGGTCTACAGCTTCAGTTCAGTGGCAAGTTGCATTACATTTGGCTTGAAGGAAAGCCAAGGTGGTTTCATTCTGAAAAAGCACTTTCTCTGAGAATGTTGGATATGGACATCAAGGAATATTTTTATTATTCATTAAATTTATACCCCACATTCCTCCAAAGAGCCCAAGATAATGTACCTGGCGGTCATCTTCTCCATTTTATCCTCACAACAACCCTGTGAGATAGGTTGAGAGTCAAGAACTCACCCAGAGTCACCCAGTGAGCATCATGACCAAACGGGGACTAAAACTTGGTTCTTCAGGCTCTCAGTCCAACACTGTAACCACTACACCATCCAGAATGTAAGAGCCATGATGGATAGGATTAAGGGTCCACCAGTCAAATATACTGCTTACACAGAGGCGGCCTACACATTCATGACATACTTGAATTCCTGATTCTAAAGGAAGCACAAGCCAAATGTAGCCAAACATGTACCCTGGACTTTAGGAAAGCCAATTTTAATAAAGGAACTGCAGGTGGCATAATGGTTTAAACTGCTGTGCTGCTGGGCTGGTTGATCAAAAGGTAGCCTTCTGTAACGTGCTCTATGTGGGGCTGCCCTTGAAGACGGTCCGGATACTTCAATTGGTTCAAAATAGAGCTGCCAGACTGCTGACGGGGACTGGGCATTATGTTCACATGACTCCAGTCCTCCGTCAGCTTCACTGTCTTCCCATTGAAGTCCAGGCCCAATTCAAGGTGTTGGTGATGACCTATAAAGCCCTAAACGGCTTGGGTCCTGGTTACCTGAAGGAGGGCTTACATCCATATATGCCCACCCGCCCCTTGAGATCTGCGGGAGATGCCCTTCTCCGGGAACCCTCCGTGAAAGAAATTAGGAGGGTAGGTACTCGGAGGAGGGCTTTCTCTGCGGTGGTGCCCAATCTATGGAATGCGCTCCCCAGAGAGGTCCGTCTGGTGCCGTCATTATTTGTTTTTCGGCGCCAGGTGAAGACCTTTTTATTTAAACGTCATTTTAATTGTTAATATTATTTGCTTATTTTATCTGGCCAGGGCGACTTATTTTATATTGTTAATTTGTTGTATATTTGAATGTTTTAGATTTTAATTTTATGTTGTGAGCCACCCCGAGGCTTCAGCAAATGGGGCGGCATAGAAATGTTTTAAATAAATAAATAGCCGGTTCAAATATGTACAACGGGGTGAGTACTCCGCCCCCTAGAGTCAGGCATGGCTGGGCTTAATGTCAAGGGGAAACCTTTACCTTTAATCTTAATAAACTCAGATCAAGGATAAGTAAAATCCCCTGGCAAGTTATTCTAATGAGAAAAGGAGACCTAGGTGGATAGATTTTTTAAAAAGAAATGTTAAAGACACAATGACAAACAATGCCAACAAGGAAAAGGGGCATAAGACAACACAAGAAGCCCATGTGGCTTCACAAAAAGCCTAGAGATGAAACAAAAAAGGACATGTATAGGAAGTGGAAGGAAGCCCAGCTTACAAAGGAAGAGTACAGGCACATAGCACAGAATTGCAAGGATGGTGTTAGGAAGGCTAAAACTAGGGATGAAGTGAGGCTATTGAGGGATGCTAAAAGCAACAAAAAGCCTTCTTCAGGTATGTCCAAAGTAAAAGACAGAGGAAAGAAATGGGGGTTTAACTACTCAGTGTGGATGGTAAAATAACAGATGACAAAAAAGGTAGAAGTGCTTACTTCCCACTCTGGCTCGATCTTCTCCCAAAAGAATATCTATGACCTTCCTGATGAAGTGGAAGTACAAGCTGAGGGAACCAGATGGAAGCTCAAGATTGATAGGCAAATGGTCAAGGATCATCTAATCAGGTTGAATGAATTCAAATCTCCAGGGCCCATTGAACTCCCCCCTAGACTCATAAAAGAGCTGGCAGAAGAACTATCAGAAACAATGTCTATTATCTTTGAGAAATTGTGGGGGAAGGCGGATGTGCCAAATGACTGGAGAAGGGCTAAAGTCTTCAAGAAAGGAAAAAGAACAACAACCTGGGAACTACCGGTCAGTCTGAAATCAATCCCTGGGAAAATTCTGGATTATAAAGCAGTCAGTCTGCAAACCCCTTGTGAACAATGCAGTGATTACTGGAAGCCAACATGAATTTCTCACAAACAAATCCTGCCAGAGTAAATTGATTTAATTTTTGATGGGGTAACCTCCCTGATGAACAATGGGAATGCTGTAGACATAGTATATCTTGACTTCAGCAAAGCTTTTGGCAAAGTGCCCCATGATATCCTGATTAGCAAACTAGCAAAAAGTGGGCTAGATGGAACAACTATCAGGTGAATCCACAGTTGGCTACAGAATCAGACTCAAAGAGTGCTCATCAATGGCATCTTCTCAACTGGGGAGAGGTAACAAGTGGGGTACCTCAGGGTTCAGTCCTGGCTCTTTAACATTTTTATTAATGATTTGAATGAGGAAGTTCAGGGAACAATTATCAAATTTGCAGATAACACCAAACTGGGTGGGATAGCTAATAATCTGGAAGACAAAATAAGATTTAAAGTGACCGTGCCAAGTTGGAGCCCAGAATGAAATTCAGTAGAGACAAATATGAAGTTCTGCACTTGGGAAATAGAAGCCAAATGCATCATTGCAAGATGAGGAATACTTGGTTCAACAATACAGCAATTGAGAAGGATATTGAAATCGTAGATGACGAGCTGAATATGAGTCAACGATGTAATGTGGCTCCAAAAAGGGAAAATGCTATTTTAGGTTGCATTAATAAAAGTATCACTTCTAAATTATGTGAAGTACTAGTTCCACACACAGGCACATATATGCGTATATAATATTCACTGATGCAGGTGAAGAAAAGGGATGGGAGCCCAAAGAGACTGGGAATGGAGCAGGTC